TCGCACAACGGAATGTTCGTGTTTAGGGACAAAAACCAAGAGGGGGGTGAATTGGTTTCTTAAACAAAAATTAGGATTTTGAATTTTTTTTAAAATTTCACCAATTAAAATGCTTTCTAAAGTAAAGAGATAATGGAAAGGAAATTACACAGTTGATTTATACTGGTTCGGAACAAAAGACCCTATGTCCAGTTGCTAATCACTCAAAATGAGGATTAACGTTGTCACTATAATCACAGTTTACAACAGATTACAAAATGAAAAGATAAGAAATAGAAAACACCTCTCTTGAGTCACACAAGAGATGAACACCTCCTTTGAATCCACAAAGGATGAACAACAGTTTTTCCTAGAGATGGAACAGCACACAATCCACCAAGAAACCCACTCAGTGATTCTTATCGCTTCTAGCTTACATTAGGTTTTCAAAAGCCCATTTTTCTTCCCTACAGAAAGTTCTCTAGCAGTCACAGCTCTTAACTTTTGTATGAAAAAGGTTTGTTAATTTTCAGAGAGCCTTAGAGAACCTTAAGTAGAGAGAATAGGGTCTGAGAAATGATGATTTTTGAAAACATAAGAATTGGGAATAGGGTTTTCATAAATTGGTCCAGATTTGAATTTCAAAACTCATAACAGACGTAGATAATCGATTATCTTGAGTGATAATCGATTATTACAGAATCATTTTCGCAAAGAAGTAAAACAGAACCAGGATAATCGATTATTTGTGGAAATAATCGATTATCTGGCTGGGATAATTGATTATCCTGAGTGATGATCGATTATCACAACAAGCTTTTCAGAAAAATGATTTTCAGTGCAAGATAATCGATTATCCTGAGTGATAATCGATTATCACAGTGTGCTTTTGATAAAAATGAACTTTTAGAGGTTTTAGAGGATGAACTATGTGTTGGCTACCTTGGACTCTAATTTTACAGACTCAAAAAGACAAAACATAGGTATTACAAGTAAATACACATGATTATAAGTCTTCAAGTCTTTAAGTTCTTTGTTCTTGAATCATCATCAAAATTTTCAAGCTTCATATCCTTGTATGTTTAACATGAGGGTGTGATTAATATGAACATTTTGCATGTTTAAAAAACATTTTTGTATTATTTATGTCGATTATATGAGAATCGATTTAAATATAAATGTAGTGACATTTTTGTAATAATTGATGGACTTTCTAACAATTGATATAGTATCACACATATAACATTGGTTCCTTTAGGAATCCATATATCCTAATAGAACTTATGTTATATGTGCTACCGTATCAGTTGTATTCACAATCAATATAGAAAGATTTTTATACTATCACTATACATTTTCTCATTTTTCCACTATTGTCCTAAAAATTTTTCTATTTATCGTTGTCGTCGCTACATTCTCAAACCTTCTCCTTTGCGAAGATCCTTCTCTCTGAAGCTTCTCCATTCTAAAACTCCTCTTCTCCAAAGTTCTTCCTCTCCAAAGATCTTCATCTCCAAAGATATTCATCTCCAAAGATTGTCCAACCACCACAATAGAACAAAGTCATTACATAATTATCCAATTTGCAAGCTCTCACTCTAACACAAAAGAATGAAGATGAAATACTTCTCTACTTTATAGGATATTGTCATTATTCTTCATCGCGTCATTACCACCTCATGTATCTCTTATTGTTATTGTTGTAGGCAAGTATATCACTTATATTTCTTTTATTGATTATATGATACTTTATTGAAAATGTTTAAAAAAATTATTGTTCATGTTTTATATTTGTATTGATATTATTATGTTATATTATGTAAGAAAGTATAAAAAACAAATAACACTTTATTGATGCTTATACGTGAAAATGTTGGCATGTAGACACATAACATTGATTGTAAAAGGAATTGATGTAAAATTTACGTGAGTTCTTTTTACAATTGATACTATATGTATACCTTTTGCATTTGTTGCCAATATAAAAACTCTCACACTTTTTACATTAGTTATATATATTAATTCTACAATTGATATAAAGGACTCAAAATACATTAAAAAAAATACATTATTTTTTTCATCAAATAATTATTATGGTAGAATTTCATTATAAATAAACATAGAATATTCTAAATACGTTGAAAAACAAATTCTAAGTTATGAAGGTTTTTTTTTATTATTTTAATACTTTGTTGGATATGATATCAATATTCATAATTAAAAAAAATAAAAGGGATTTTTTACTTAAAAAAATCTCATTAAATTTTCTTTATCTATAATACGTGGACACTTTAGTTTTTTATTTTATTTTGTTTGTTGGTTTTTTTTTTATGAAATTTTGATATTATAATGTTAACGTTAATTATTATTTTATTTTAAGTTTTTTTACGTAAAAGATTTTTTTTTTAAAAAAAGAAGATATCGGTACAACTTCTAAATTTATAAATAATTATTATTATATTAATATAATAAATAATAATATATCTTATATTGTTAACAATAAAATAAATAATAATAATAATAATTTATAATATTAATAATATATTATTACTTTTCACTAAAATATTAATAATAATAATAATAATAATAATAATAATAAATTAAATTATTATTGTGAAAAAATCATTATTACAAAAAATTATTATTATTTTATAAAATAAAAATAAAAATTATTATTAAAATTAATAACAATTATTACTTCGAATAATAATATAAATTTATTGTTAATTTTTAATTATTAATTATTAATATTATTTTATTACTAAATAATAGAATTATAATTACTAATATAATTCTCTTATTATTAATATTTTTTATTTAATATGATCATAATTATATCATTATTTATACTATTTTATTATTAATAATAAAATAAAAAATTATAGTAATAATTATAATTATTTTATTTTTTTAATAATATTAGTATTATTTTAATATTAATAATAATATAATACTGATAAAATAATAAAATAATTAATAATTTTAATAATAATAATATAAAATTTATTATTATAATATAAAATTAAATTTCGATCTAAACTTTCATATATATATATATATATATATATATATATATATATATATATATATATATCGTATTATTTAGTATATATTTTTAATTGAAAATTAAAATTTATGAAATATGATTTTTTTTTAAATTGTGTTTCGATTCATTTAAATTTATAATTTTTTTAGAATTTATTAATTTTAATAAATTTTAAAACAAATTACACTCTTTACCATAAAAAACCTTTTTTTTTAATAATTTATAAATATAAAAACAACCGTTATTTCTGAATTAAGAGAATAAAGGATAACTTCAATAAAATATAAAATATAGGAATGAAAATAAAATAAAAGTATAATATTCAGGTGACGTTTAATTAAATAAATTTATTTACAAAATAACTCTTATTTAAATAAATAATATAAGTCGATGGAATGAGCTAACTTAACCTATTCTCAGTCCACTTCTAACCTAAGTGCTGTGCATGTATTCCCTCCCTGTATATTAAAAACAAGTGTCTTTTAATAACCTTTAATTAGAGTTTTATCTTATAAAGAACGAATTAAATATCATGGGCTTATATTAGTGCAAATTCTTTTGTTGTGGACCGTCCATGTATTTTTTAAAATAATAATAATAATTTATTCTTTTATAGATAATTTATTATTAGTAGCATTAACTAATGTTGAAGAAACTTTAGTATATGTAATGTTATTTATGAGATTTAATGAAAGGAAAAAGACATGCAGACAACTCTTCTGAAAAAATAATAATCTAATAATTTTATTTATTATATATAGTAATAATTTTTAAATATTTTTTTCTGAATCATTTTATAATTATTATATTAATATACAAAGTTGTGAAATGATTCTGAATTTGTTAATAATTGTATCGACATTCTTATTAAAATGTTTAAAACTATATATAAATTGAGGAGAAAAATTGTTCAAGATATAGAAAGTAAAAATAAATAGTGTGTAATGATAGAATCTGCTTAAGATAGGGAAGTAAAAAGTAGAGAAGAGGGCTTTATTTTCTTTTCTTTCTTTCTTTTTTCTGGATGGGATGAAAATACTCTAAATACTAATATTTGTTAATTATACATAATTCTTAAGATTTAATTTGACCAATTATTATATATAATAAGATCAAGCATCCAATTTACAGTCAACCATACGAAGCATTGACAATGTCATGTCCTGGACTCTGATATTTTCTGGGTTACCTTTGTTTCTTCCTCACACATTCTAATGAATCCTCATTGACTTTCATTCCTGAATCTTTTGATGACTTCTTTTCTGATAAGAAGATCTCTTATAAAAAGAATCTGAAGGATAAGCCATCTCTGTCACCCTTCAATTTCATTTTCTAATTTTCATAAAAAATATAACATTTCTTTTCGCTTTTAACTGACAGACTAACCACGTTTCCTTTGTATTACATAAGCTTTATTTATTTATTTATTTATTTACTCCTTTCATGTTGAACTAAACACACGAGCAACAATTATTTGTTTGTCAAGAAGTGAAAGAATAAAATAAAACTTGCAACATGATACCATCCGGGTTACCAATTTGCCTCATGGGGAGGTTCATATAATATTACCATTTTCCATATATATCTCATCCAATTCATGAATTTTAAAATAAACTAGAATTTATGGTACTAATTAACCATGTTAATTAGCATAATCACAGGAAGTGGCAATTAGAGCTAAGGATATAATAACTTTATATTCCTTTCTAGCAGATAGACCTGATACACCATTTTACAACCTTGTAGTTCAGAAATTCACATCTAACCCCCCAAAAAAAGAAAAGATGATTAAACATGGAAATGGAAGTAATAGTGCTCTGGTAGAGGAATGCTAGTATTGTCCTATGGAACAGAAACTACAACTACACTGCTCACATTGGTTTTACACAAAAAGATTAGAGAAAAAGAAGAAAAAAATAAGAAAACAATTACAGTCACTAGAGGGGTCATGATGCTTCTCATCACACTAAGCACATTAGTTGGAAGAACTAGAAGGATTTTGACTGGCACTTGAGCTTAGACTCAGGTCAAGGATTGTGTTTGGAGCATTGGCTTTCTGATTCCCCTTGGAGAGCTTCTGTTTGAGCTCAGACAACAGAGCCTGGTTCTCTTGATTAAGAAGCTGTGCTTTCTTCCTTAGTCTCTCATTCTCTTTCATTATGTAACAGTTCTGCAGGTACAGCTTTGAGTTCAACCTCTCCATCAAATCTCCAAATTTTCCTACACTGACCCTGAAACCAGGAAACAGTTGTTATTGTTTGTGTCCACAAACTAATGATATCAAGCAATGAATCCAAAGACTTAAAGGGTAGATTCATAGATATATTATATTTGATTGAGAAGAAAAAAAAAAAAAAAAATATATATATATATATATATATATATATATATATATATAATAAAGTAAGAAAATAAGAAAGGAACAGAACCACCTTAATAATAACTGAATGGAAAAAAAGAAAGAAAGAAGAATATGCAAGCTTCCTAGTGAATGTGTTGCTTTATGAATTGCTTTGGTAGATATAATTATGACACTTAAGAGAAGAAGGCAATTTCAACAGGAAAAAGCATAGGGGGGTGGAGGCCAGAACAATTGAGTCTTTTGGACCACCTTGTCAAATAAATAGAGCATATGGGGTTGTCTGAAAAACTAAAGAAGATGGATGATGCAGGGGGGGTTGGGAGAATAAGTTAATAACAGTTGTCCAAGCCTGCACTGACTTGAAAGCAGAAAAAGAAGATGGCTTCTTTCGGCTATCCCAAGAGGGAAGAAAAGGATAAAGGTCCTACCTACGTAAAAGAGACAAGCTTCGTACACCAAGATCTTCTGTGTGTTTGTATGTCTATAAGCAAAAACACAGTTCTTGATGTTCCAAGCACACATAAGAGGCATTCCAAAAGGTTTTTAATATCCTCAGTAGTTCCAAAAGTTGCCAAAAGTAAAATGGAGATAAAAATAAATAAATAAACAACTTAATGGAAGACTAGAGAAAGACAAAGAAACCATTGAGGGTGTTTTTCTTTCTTTCGTTTTTTTTTTTAATTTATATTATAAAAATAAAATAAAATAAACGAAACAGAATCTACAGAGAAAAAGGTTTGATAGGCCAAAAACATTCCTTCCACAAAACAAGGTGGAATGAAAATAAGATACCTCAAACTATGTGAAAGCCTTAAGTTAGAAGAAGCAACCAAGAGTACAGGTGATTTGGACTCAGATATCTAAACCATAAAACACTAACTTTGCAACAGCCTGAAATACCATGTCTACATTTGTTTGTGAAAGTAATGAGGAAAATTTAAAACAAAACAGGAACAAAAACAACATAGATAGTGTCTGTGAGAGACTTAAAAGAGAGAGAGAGAGAGAGAGAGAGGTGGGGTCCCCATGTCTTCTCCCCTTGAACTTTTCGAAAAAGATCACCTTTTGAAGGAGGTTGGTTTGGGTTGGGAGACTTTGGTGGAGGAAACAGAGTCTGGATTGTGGAAGGAGCAGCAGTGTGAAAAGGGTGAGTTTAGGGAAGAGGAAGTGAGGGACAAAGGGAACAAAGGATGTTAATTTATAGAGGAAAAAACGCACAAGAGAGAGAGGAAGAGCAGAGTCACAGACAGACACGAAGGATGAAAATAAAAAAGAGAGAGGGTGGGGGGACGTGCCCCTCCTCTCTCTGACACAACAATCATGCATGTGTAAGCATGGAAGGCGGCCGGTTAGTAGCCTAAAAGATTTTATGTTTCGCTTCTATGATGATGCTTATGGCGTCATGCCAATCATGATGCTCTACCTTTCATTTGCTTTTTATTTTTTATGTTTTATTTTAAGGGTACGTTCCTTCTTATTTTATCACAAGTCAGGATTCACATTTTGCCACCAAGTATAATGTGACATGATTGGAAGGTATATTTAATCTAGATTATATATCAGTATCTTTAGATATTAGTCTTTAACTTTATGTCCAAGATGTCCTATTCAACAAGAACAAAGTAATTTGGTAAGAAAGTGATCTGGTGTGAGAGAAAGAAGAAAAATTGTATGGTTGTATGGACGAAGAAGCAATCCTTGTGTGGGGGAGGGTACAGTGGGAATAAAAATGGTTATAATGGGGGAGGGGAGGAACAATAATGGGGGCTTTCAGTTAGGGTTTGTAAAATGATGATGGGCTAGGCCGTCCCAAGATATGCAATGATGGTTTGGATTGGGTCCAAAACCACCATCAGCACCCTTCCTTACCCCCTCACCCCTATCATCAATTACTCTTTTGTTTTATTTATGCTGCGGTTCTTCTATTTTTAGGCCTCCATAATTTACACTTTCGTTTGTGTAATTTTCATGTGTTGGGAAGTGTTGGCAGTAATCATTCTTCTTGCCGTAATGTTATTCCTCCTTTTGTTGAAAATGGCGATTTTTGTGCATTGAGACCTGAGAGAAGGAGAGAGAGGGGAAGAGACTGCCACTTGTTTATGGCCTTGTCTCCACTACACGGCACTACTTAGCTACTAGTAGCTACTTGTGTGTTTAATTCTTTACCATCATCGTTTCCCATATTAATTATGAATATCCCTCATTTTACATTTGAGTGATGATACCAAAATTTGTTCATTTATGTAGGGGTATCATATGATATGATATGAGTGAGATGCTCAAAATCCGTTGCCAATGGTCATGTGTTAATTCCCTTTCTCTGTTTTTATATGCTTGGGAGAGTGCTTTAACTTTTTAACAAACTAAATGTGAAATCATTAAAAAGGTTCCACAAAAAGGGCAAAAAAGAAAAGGATGGGAGGGGTGTTATGCATTGTCACACTACTAAAGCAGGGTTGTTTTAGTACCACAGGTTCTGTTTCAGAATCAATTGTTACTCCTAATCAGATTCCATTCACATTAATTACCCTGTGGCTCATATGAGCTAATTAGAAGCATTGATGGTATTTTGTTTTATGTTATTATATATAATGATAATAATACTAATAATTATGAGGAAAGGTGTATAGTAGTGTGTTAAGTAAAGCACTGGTTTTGTTGCCAAATTGAGGAGATAAGGTTGAGATAATAATTGTTGGGGGGAAATAGGATGTTGGATGAGAGTTTGGGCCAGCCAGCCCCGAATTCCCTCGTGGGTTATGAGTGGTAGAAACGTGAAACATCATGGTTGACAGATGGTATTTTGGATGTGTCTATTTTTTCGTATGTGAGTGAAGTTGTCAACCAGTTCATGGGTGTGCCCCCTTCAACAATCCCCTCTTTAGCACTTTGCTTGCTTCAATCTCTGTTATCTAATTATGGGGTTCAATCCATGGGCGGCCTCTTTCTCAAATTACTCTTTTCTCCTTAACACCTGTATACTTTTCATTTAATATGTCATGTAACTGTGAATTTATGTTAATCATTTTTATATTTTAAATCACAGAAATTGTTTAGTTTTTTACTTTATACAATTAATTTAATTAAAACATATAAAGTTTTTTAATAATGTAGTATAAATTTAATTTGAGTATTGATTTTCTACTAATATCAGAAGACTTAAGTTTATATAAAATATTTTAATAACAACTCTGTTTTTTTATAATAACAAATCTCAAAAAATTTAAATAGTACAAGCTTTAAAATAATTTATTTTGTCCTACCGAATTGGAAGACTTACAATGATTTGATGAACTGAACTACTACTTAATCTAAATCCAATAATAATAATAATAATAATAATAATAATAATAATAATAATAATAATAATAATAATTATTATTATTATTATTATTATTATTATTATTATTATTATAAAAAATAAATAATAGAAACTTTCAAATATTTTTTTCTCTTATCGAATTAGAAGGCTAAGCAGAACGTTACAATGAATTAACGGTTCAACTAATTAATCTAATTCCAATTTTAACACGTTGAGTAAGTGAAACAATTAGGTTCAACCATGTCTCCTAAATTTATTTTATATACACAGAATTAAAAAAAAAATAGAAACTTGCTTGTTTATTATTTTTAAAAACAGTTTTCAGTATTTTAATTAAAAAAAACTTGTTTAGTAATTATTTTTCAAAAATATTTTTACTTTTTAGTTTTAAAAAATTAATAAAATATATTTTGGTTTTAATTTTTCATTTTATTATTATCAAAATTATTTTCCTTCTTTAAAAATTTTCGTAATTATTTATATATATATATATATATATATTTTTACTTAAAATAGTTTTTTTAAAAATAAGATTATCAAATAAAATCATTTTTAAAATTAATTTTTCAAAATTAATCTCTAAAAAAATTTAAAATTTTAAAAAATTAAACTAAATTATACCAACCCATTACATGAATTAAACAATTCAACTACTTAGTCTATAACTCGTTAATATTATCTTACGTGAATAAATAATTTACATTATTATAATCACTAATAAATGTGTAACATCTTCGGTTAGTAATTATAGATAATATATTAATATTACATCAAAATTATTTATTTTATAAAAATTAGAAGAAAAAATATACAATTAATTTTTTATAGGATGAAATTTGAATATTCATCCTCGTGAAGAACTAAAAATAGATTGATGTTTTAAATTTTTATGTATTTAATAAAAAAAATATCATGATGGGACGAAGTTAGGAAATGACTTAAAATGTCTTTTATTTATTTTTAAATATATATATATATATATATATATATATATATATATATATATATATATATATATAATCAAGCATAATATTAACAAAAAAAAATTAAGAAAGTGTCCAAAGACATAACAATAAAAAAGAGATCCTCAACAAATGATTTAACATTGTCGATAATACACTTATGTGTGAGTATAACAACGATCGTCCTTTCATATTTAAAATCATGAAAATGTCACTCTCACTAATATAGAAACTACTTACTCTAGAGAAGTATGATGTCTCGAGAAGTTCAAATGAACACCTAAAATTATATAAAACACAAGTCAATCTTTACGCTAATAGTAGAGTTATTCTATGTTGAGTTTTTCCTACCAGACTATAGGGACTTGCATAACAGTGTTATACTTTACCATACAACTTCATCAATTCATATCATACTTTAGTCGAAAGGTTTCAAGTTCAGTTCAAGGCTAGTTGTATGCATGTGGCCATGTTAGAAGCCTTGTAGAGTGTCAAATAGGGAGAATATGAGACCTTGCATTTTCATGGAACGATTTGCAAAAGTTTTGAATATCATCCCCAATCTTAATTCAAATGTTACCCTACATGTGATATAAGTGTCTTGTAACATGCCCCTCCATAGATAGCATGTTCGTTTTCCTACCTCAAGACATTCACAAAATTGGCGACTTGAGCAACTGACTACATCCAAATAAAGGATAACAATATTATATTAAAAAAATAAAGAAATTTAACATAGGATCTCCTGTTAGGAGAGCATTAACTCTTGTAACTTCTTGTAAAGAAACTTCATAATTATTTTTGGTAGTATAATTAATTGGAACCAATGTTTTTAAAATAGGATTGATCTTAGATATGAATTTAGGACTTTAAAGATTCAATCAGATCAATCTGGATTTAATAAAATAATTTATTTTTATAATATAATAATATAATAAATGTATTATAAGTTCAATAATAATAACACTTTATTTACATAAAGAGAAAAATAATTACAATAAAGTAAAAATTGTTATCATGATTGTTGTAAATTTTAATAAAATTAACAAACATAAAATATAGAAGAAAATAAATTATTAATAATTTTCAAAGAAAGATAAAAACATAATAAATATTTATTATTTAAAATTGATATGACTTATTATTTTTATAAATAATGATTAAATGTATTCAATAATTATTTCCATCCATGTGTAAATTTAAACATAATACTTGTGCAAGTAAAAGAAAAAAAAAACAAAAAATATTATACTCTTTATTAAAATTTATCTTAAAAAAAATATCTTTAAAATTCTTCCCTACCAAAACTAATTTGACTAAAAAAACTCACTTATTTTTTCAATTTTTTTTATTTTGTACTGGTTTTTTTCGATTTTATACTAATTTAATTAAAATCCAATTTTTTGGATGCATGTTTTTAGATTGGTTTCAATTGGATAGATGGAATTGGTTGGTCTAATCATATTTTTAGAACACTGGTTGGAACAACCTCTAAAGATGTGTAAACAGTACTCTTTTGTTCTCTTAGAACTATGTTCTACTCCTAAGATTTTGCGTGCCAACAAAAAGGCTCAAGATTATTCACACTAGAACTATACATAAAGTAGAAGTAGTCGAGAAATGTACTCATCAAATGCAAAATAAAATTCTGAGGGGAAATGAGAAGACAAAGAAGAAAGTAAACTAGGCGTAGAGAAAACGTTGTGCAATAAAAAATGCCAAAAGATAAGGGTGAGGAGGTTTTAAATGCAACATCTCTTAACTTGATTAAAAAGAAAGTAAATTCGTTCTTCAAATAAAGTGAAGATGAAAGAATATAAAGTTATTGTTGTATTTATATAATTTATTATATATATATATATATATATATATATATATATATATAAATTATTATTCTCTATTTGTTATGGATTAATATTAATCAATAAATTAATTATTTGTAATTATTAATTATATTACACATCATCATTATTTTATGAATAATAATTTAATTTGGGTTTCGATGAACTGTCCAGTGATGGGTTAGATTGTTCAGAATCGAG